TCGCTTATCGGTAATTGTGTGTATTTTTGATGTTGTTTACAATTGTATTTATATAGTGTGAATTTACTGGCTTCCAAATTTAGGGGTTAATGAATCCGAAATGAATTCTATGTATGCTATAACAAAATACACCCATATTGTTCTATCATACAAGAATTTGTTTGTTAGATTCGAAATCTCGACGAGTAAAAGTAAATAATGTATAAAAGGAAAACAATTTTAGAATTTGATTTCTCTATTTTGATTAGTTACATTCAAAATATGCAGAATTACTTAAAATAATTGATTAGATTTATGACATTTTTATAAACAATAAAATTGATAAGAGAAATTTTAAATGGATGTTTGATAACAAATGTATGTATACACATAGACACATGTGTGCATAGAAGTATGCGTACAGGATGAAGTCGTTCTCTTTTTTAGTGTAAAATTTATCATTTTTAAGGCTAGAATATTTTAAAGTTTTTAACCATTTTTGATTTTCCAATTTGAAGTTTACTTAAGAAAATTTTTTATCGTTCTAACATAATGTATAGTATGTTACTTAATCTGCTTCATATTAACTATTGCAATCGAAATTCAATTTTAAAAAGTTTTACAATCAAATCAAATTACATATAATTAGTTTAGACAGAGTTAATTTGAGTTTATTTTGTGTTTGTAAAAGCAAAGGGCAATGAAAATTGGGTTATAAATAATATAAATCGATTGAAATAAATTATAAAAATTTTAAAAAATTATTCTTATCCCTGACTTATGACCGACTGACCCGTCTGTGAGTTGAAATCCACTTCAAATTTTGACAATTTTCACCAGATAAACTGTGGTGCTTTTTTTAAATATTATAACCTTTCATTCTCTCTCACTTTCATAGATTAAAGGAAAAATGTGACAATAACCGCAGCCTTACCTAAAGGTTCCCAAATTTATGCAGAATTATATGTCTATAACAGAATTAATAGATCATTTCCATTGATTAGACCTAAATTTGTGTATATATGTAGAAAAAGCTTTATTGGACTTAAATTATTGAATGAAAATGTGCAATTTTACATTCTTCTAAATTCTAAACCTGAATTTATTTTTATTATCCTACATCATTTCGTACAAGAGCATACAGTTCATGATATCGTAGATAACAATGACCTAGTTTCTTGCGTCATAGGGTTTACCAGGTAGGTGATGAGCCCTACCGGAGTATTTTCTTTTATAGTAAATATTTAAGGTTATTGATATTACTGTTTTATTTTGCTGGCACTTTTTAATATTAGTTATTATGGATATATGGTATTTAATTATAATAAGGAATATAAGTTTATAATAAGGAAAAACCTGACCGGGTTTTGAATCTGAGTTATTTCAGTTAAAGAACCAGTACAATAACCACTGTTTTTAATACTGTGGTTAAATTCTTTTCTGAATCTATAAAGCTATGATATTTTTCTCGTTGGAGGATTGTGAAGACTTAATTAAAAATATACCTGGTCATTGGTGCAGTAGTTATGCCAACGGTCTTTCAACCGAAAGGTTTCGGGTTCAAACGCTGGTTAGGTCACTATAAAAATTACATACAATATTCTAACTTAATATACAAAATGTACTTATAAAATAAAAATTAGTACACAAGTAATTTTCAAGGAAACTAAGGAATATAAACAATAAATATCAATAACCTTAAATATTCAATAAAAGATAAAACTACGGTAGGCTAGTCACCCACATTCTTAATGGTAATAGGCACATTCTTATTGATTCCGCAACTATAATGTTGTATTAGTAAAATTCATAATAGTCACCCACCTGTTTAAAACTGTGAAGAAGTGAAGAAGAAAAAAAAATTACAAATATAATTTCGATTAGTTAAATTTAATTTTAGCTAACGCAAGACAAACAATTTGTTACTATTCCTTTTTTTAGTTTCTCAGAAATTGAGAAGCGACAATGAAATAAGATTATTCCTTATGATTGGGAGTCGAAGTTTTAATTATCAAATCTTACGATGATTTACCCGTTATTATATTATGTAGCGTTACACATTTATTATTGTGTATTGAATCAAAAGTGGAGGTTGAAATACAGGTACGTGGACCTTTTGTCATGTTTGATACTTCAGAAACAGCTGAGAGTAAAAATATAAAGTGGAATTATAAAAGTATGTACATACATATGTTTGTTTGTTTATATTAGAAAATAGTCAGTTACACAATTAATAGTAATTTTTTTTTTTCCTTCTTCACTCCTAGGAGTAGTATAGGGCTAGTGCATAATATCTATCATGCCCTAGTTTCTACAGTCATAGAGATTTAGCTAGGTAGGTGACTAGCCTACCGTAGTTTTTTTTTTATTTATATTAAGTATTTCAGTTTATTAATATTTACTGTTTATTTTTCTAAGTCTTTAGTATCGAATATTATGAATATTTGAAAATTACTTGTATAATATTTATTAGTATTGCATATTAAGTTACATAATATTGAATATAATTTTTATAGTGACCTGAGGGTTTGAACCCGAGACCCTTCGGTTAAAGGGCCGGTGCCATAACCACTGCACCAATGGTCAGATCAATTAATAGTAATAGTCAGTTGCAATATTTCTGATTTTCACATTTGAAAACTATTGGCATTGAAATTCTAATTTATTTCACTTTGGTATTGCATTTAAAATCAATTTGACCAATTGTTTTACAAAATAAACTTTTAAAATGTAATAATTTCCAATTTTTCATATTATTTTATTCTCATTATTAAATAAAGTGGTAAATTGGCAATATTTTATTCTACTTATACGTTTTTCTTTTTATTCAATTAGTTTATCTTTTAAGGTGTAATTACCGTTATACGTAGATGTAATAATTTTATAAAGCGATTTATTTATTTGGTTGCTCCAAACTTTCAATATGAAAAATACATTTTTATTTTTGCTTCGCTTATTTATTTTTAATAATTTTGTTTATCAAGAAGAAAAGTAAGAAAAAATGAAAATAATAATGATTTCGATTCCATTGACATTGGAGATTATTTTTAAAGTTTTTTTTTCTGTTCACTTATTATTGATACTTATAACAACTTACTATACAAAAAATATTTCATCAACTATACATACATACATACATGCAACATACTTTCGTGGTTGTGTATAATATAGGTTTACATAAGCGTAGTATTTATGTTGAATATCAGGAATACCAAATAATAAACAAAATTTTCTGCTTTAAACAGCAATATTTTTTAAAAAAACATACTTACATACCTTTTTTGTTATTTATTTTATATTTTTTAAACTCAAGTCAAGTAAATTCGTTGTAGTATTTTGAATTACAAATTCAATATACAAAGGAAAAATAAAACCTAAAAAAAAAAATAAAAAAAAATAATTCAAGAAATTCAATTCAAAGTGGCTGGCTGGTTATTTGATTAAAAAAAAACTCTGTTAAACTTCCATTCTCTTCGGTATTCATTTTTTATTATTATGGCTAAAAAGAAATAAAAAAATTTAAAATTAAAAGAAAAAAAAACAAAAAAAATTGAAACTTCTGTATAATAATAAAGAAAAATATATAAAAATCAACAAAACATGAAAAAAAAATTTAGTTTACAAGATCGAGAAATATTGGATTGCCCCTCAATAATGGTCGAACTAACAAAGAACTTCTAAGTAAAAATTTAGAGAGGAAATAAAAAAAGAATTTTATCTATTGAAAAGGCTATAACAATATAGCAGAAGAAAACAGAAAACAACGACAACACTCTTACTAACACACCATTATTGAATAAGTCACGTCATTAATGTATATTGCCTGATAAAGAAGAAACAGTAGAAACAACAATGCATATGCATAGTTTTCTTTATTTCTTAATTCTTTCTTTTTTTTATGCACGTTCACACTGTTACACATTTTCTGAATTTTATTTCATTATACACTGCACTACCACCAGTACAAATCCTTTTAAAATGCGGAAAAGAGTTGCCAATTTATAAATTTTTTTATTACTAGTCTGGTATTAAAACTCACCTGCAATGAATAAAGTGCCTGTTTTTGAGATTGATTAAGTTAAAAATAAGTGAAGTAGAATATAATACCTGTGTAAATTTTGGATTTATAACAAAGATTTGCACCTGATATCTTTACTTAAAAAATAATACATTCTAAATGTTAATAAAAAACAGAAAAAAGAAAACACAATATAAAATTATAAATTGATGACTAACTGTCATATTTAAAGGAAACGCCGTAAACAGTCGTTAAACGTTTGTACTTGCTACGGAAACTGCTTAGATTATATTCTGTCAAGGTGTCCGGTATGATTACATTTTGTTTGTAAACAATCAAAAATAACAGCTAATTTTGTTAAATGAGTTTATTTCTCGCTTTTCCCATCAAGGTATTTTTTAAAAGACTTTTTCAAAAAAATAAAACTCGCAATCGAAATTATAAGATTTTAGTCAATTTTTGAATCATAATTTTGTGGCAATTTTAATTATCATTGCCTTTGGCTCTTTTATTCGTTTTACATTAATTAATCAAATAATCATGTAATTCTCTAACAGCGTGTTCAAACGTCTGTTACTCGTAATAAAATAAAATTACAAAATATGCCCGCTTATATTTAATTAAAGTGACAATTATTACATTTGTGTCAAATTGTACATTCAAATTGAGCACTCTATTTTTTTCCATTCTTTATAGATATCACAAGTACGTTATCATATCGTAACATCATTATAATGAGTAATTTTTTATATTTTATGAAAAACAAGAGTGTACTGTCTTTTCTGTCAAGAGCTTCAGTTTCAGTTGAAGTTGCTTTCTTCTTTATTTAATTTTCCATATTTTTTCAATACACTTTTATACTTTTATTTTGAGTTTGCTTTGCAAATGTGTTTGTATTTTGTTGAATGTGTATGCAATGAATCAAAGAAGAGGAAAGAATAAAAGAAAATTAAAAAGCAAAAATGAGAAACGAATTGAACACTGCTGCTCTGTTATATGTGTTGTGAACAGAATGAACGCATTTTCAATTTTTACATAAAAACATTCGTTAAGTGTTACTTTGGACGTCGAACTGTTTGGTTTGGAAATACTAAAGTTGGAAAAGAAGCGAAAAAAAAAAAAAACAAAAAAGAAAGATTTATTCAGTGTTGTCGCATGTTTATTTTTTTTTTAGTGAATTAAATTTAATTTTATTTTCCTCTTGATTTGAAATTAATTATTTAAAAAAATAAATAATTAAAATAACAAATATTTTTAAAACTGTTTTTCAATGGTGGTAAATATAAATTACTGTTAAAAGATTTTTTTATCATCAAAAACTTGAATTTTTTTTCTTATTTGTTTAATTTTTTCTTTTATTTTTTTTTAATTTTTAATTCTTTATTATTGAAAAACAAGAAATTTAACGCTCTAAAGAGAAAATATACGATACAAGAATATTAATAAAAACGAGTGCGAAAAATAAAATAAATAAAGGATTAATTTGTGGCCATTGTGAATATTTTTTCATTACTGATCCCATTTTGTGTTATAAAAATTATCGTAAATTTAAAAAAAAAAATGCATATTAATAAGAATTGCTGAAATTTTAAAATTTTCTTTCTACCATAGTTATTCAAACAAATAAAAATTAAATATTTGGAAATAAATTTCTTTTTACTTTTTTATTAAAATTTGTGTAAATTTAAAAAAGAAAAATTAAGGCATAAAATTTTTTGTGTGTGAAATATAAGTAAATATTTTGTATTTAATGAGTAAAATACATATTTGATTTTCATGGATTTACAAATGATTAAGACTTCATTCAAATAATTAAATATTTAAAAAATAAAAATATAAATAAATAAAACAAAGCATCATTTTCAATATTGTTGACATTTGTTTTTTGTTTATTTAAATGTTGATATAATTTCTTTGTGATCTCCAATAATCAAAGATTTTTTTAATTGTTTCCTTAATAAGTAATTTTTTTATGAATAAATTTAATATTAAATTTTAAACAATAGCAATAAAATAGCTTCAAAGCTAATAAATTTCTTCATGTACCTCAATTATTTACAAAAGTTTTTACATAAAAAAAAATATTTAAATTTAAAGTTATAATAAAAAAAATATTGTTTAAAATTTTTTTAACATAATTTAATTCATGAATTTAAATTGAAATTAATTATTCAATTTTATATACATTCATACATACCTCTACATATACATGAAGTTAAAATAAAATTAGTGATTTAAAAGAACAAGATTACATACAACAAATTAATTCTGGAAAACTTGATGAATTTGGATAAGAGAAAACAGAAACAAATAAGATAAAGAAGGAAATTATATTCATTAATTTTAGAATAAATTAAAATATTTGAGTTGAAAGAAAGAAAATATAAACTTGAATGCATTGATTGTTAAAGAGAAAAAAGTGAAAAAGGTAAGAATTTTTGGTTAAAATTATTATTGAAAAATTAAAAAAAAAAGTTGGAAAGTAAAAAACCATGCTTTCTTGCCATCTTTAAATTAAGTTAATCTTTTTTTATTGAAATCAAGTACTTACATATATGATTCACAATTAGCTATATAACATTTATACAATTAGCTATATAACACAGTAAGCTATATAACATTTATAAATTAAATTAAATTTAATTAAATTTATTTTTAATTTTTTCATTTATTATAAAGAAATTTATAATTTTACATGCCTTTCATTTATTTAATTGTCAATCATATACTCAAATGTAAAGTAAAGAAATCTGTTCTACTATTACAAAACAATGAAAAAAAAATAAGTCGGAGAAGTACGAGGGGTGTACAGAGATTAAAACAGCATATTTTAAGATAAAAAATGAAATATTGATTGAAAAGCCTTGTTATTAGTCTCTTTATTATTTGCACGCCTTTATTATTAAACTTCTGTATGATTAATTAAAAATGAAAACTAAATTTTAATATAACAGTTCTTTCATTTTAAACTTTTATATCAGTATGTTGATTGAAAATGTACATACATATACATATATACAATTATGCATATTATCTTTGTTAATGCCTTGTATGTTATCCCGATTGCGATTTATTAATTTTAATTCTATATTATTTTATTAAATTTAACAAAATTACCTAAAGCTTACAATTATTCTTAATTTTTTTTAAAATTGATATGAGCTCTAAATATATATGTATACAGATAAGTATGTAAATAGCAAAGCCCATTTGTACAAATTTCTGTTACATAAAGTATAATATAAGATATAATCTTCTTATATTATGCAGAAGTATCTTCATACATGTATGTATGTACACTAGATTAACATTAATGTACATAATTAAGTAACAAAGTTATTATTATCGAGTGTATCTTGTTTATACTAAAACATTTAGTCATTTTTTTTATAAGTAAACGAAAAATGTTTTTGTATTTACAAATAAAATATTTTAGGTACTTACGCACTTATTTAGTTGTTTAAAAAGTTTTACAATTGCTGCGACAACTGAAGAAAAGTTTTATAATTGGATAAGTAATGAATATAAAATAAATAATGATATTAACATTTACTCATGTTGTTTGAAATCTGCAATAAAATTGACTTTTAAAGTTTTCCGAAGTTTGATGACATCTGTGCCTGTGTAATGGTTAACTTTGTTCTTGTTTGAAACTTTGTCTATTTACATTGTTCAATCAACTTGCATATAAGCATGACGGTTAAATTTTTTAATAGTAAGTGTTTTTTTGAAGATTTGCAATAATATTTTCGAATAAAATCGACTAATTACTGCTTTACAATGTAAGAATTTTATTTAATTTTCAAAATAATTGAATTTAAAAATTACAAAATTGATATTTTGAATGATGTTTACCATTTCGAACGCGTGCATTGTGAAATCGAGCAGTTATGTTCCGTTCTTGATACATGCATAATCAATGTAAAAGCTTTCACTTTTATAAATTTCTTACTATTTTTATTATCTCAGACTATCCCTTTCTTCAATGGAATAATGCATTTATTTTATACTATAAAAATTAAAGTACATAGTCATTATTTGTTTCTGAACCAATTGTTGAAATTATTTGGAGTCTTTTGGAGATCTTTTTTGTTAATGCAAAAATTTTTCATAAAATTTAAAAGTATGTGCTAAAAAATTTTATTTGAATATTAAATTTTCATAATAAAAAAATTTTTTTTGCAACTCTTTATAACTATTTTTTAAGTTTTGTCTCCTAAAACTTATTTTGTTGCAAACCTTGTTTACAAATTATTACCGCCATTTTAAATGTAAACATAATATATTTTTATTATATTTATTATTTTCTACTAATTGCCAAGAATGAAACTCAAATAACTCTAAGCTATTTCATACTGTGCATTTCTAAAATAAAGTATTTGCAAGTTATTAATTAAATAGAAAAAATAAAATGTAAAAAAATTTAAAGTATTTGACAAGAAAGTAATAAATAAATAATTCTTTTTCCTTTAATTTAATATAAAGATAGTTTTATTGTTATTTAGTTTTAGTAAATATTTTTGTTTTCATATACATAGGTACATATGTATGAACCAAATATCTAATAGCGAGCACTAACCTCTGTGTTTTGAATAGCATTTAAAAACTTTATTGTTTTTATCCTTCTTTTACAACAACAAGAATTATTCCTGCTGTTTAGCAAAAGCAATAAGTAAAATACAATATTCAGCTTGATACTTAATAATTAAAATAAAGAAAAAAACAAATGGAGTTTTAAATATAAATATATTTGTGTACATACATATAAACTTATCTATATGAATGTGTGAGTGCATTATACAGTAAGGTCAGAAAAATATGAGTGCGAAATAAAAAGAGCGATGCTATTGCAAAAATCCTAGATATTTTTAAAAATTAATATCAAATTTTCAACAAAGCTGCAGAGTTCCCAACTCCTTCTGATTGAAGTTTTATATTGGTTTTAAAAAATGCAAGAAATTTAGTGACATTCAAGAAATTCACATGAATTTTAACAGTGCTTCCGACATATAATTATTCCAATTGTATACATATTCACTATATGTAAATCTTGCTAAATTTTAAAACACTTCATGTGATTAAGTAAAACTTGGTGGCTTGGTTTCTAAAAGAAAAATTCAATAAGTTTAAAGTTTTCAATATACGGAATTGTCTTATGGAAACATCATATAAAAAACTTACATTTCGTATTAAAAGTTATTCATTTTTGCTAACCTCTCAAAATCGTATTTGTTAACCGTTTATGGCTAGTTTGAATTGTTCTGGAGTATTCTGTATTTATGGAAGTACATATGTATGTATGTATTTGTTTTTGTGCATAAAATTTAAAGGGGGATCAAAATGTGTGCAGCATATGCATGTGTATATATTTTATGCTATTGTATTAATTATGTGCTTGAAAATTATTAATACCAGCCAACTATTTTAATGGGTAAATATTATTATTCATATATCTATACAGTTATGTGTTTGTTTGTTTATGTGCATATATTTATTAAAGATATCGGAGAATAATAAATGAATGCTAAAATAAACAATAAAGCTGTCCAGGACATTAAGAGAAACCTAGAGGGAAATTGAAGCCGAAACTCAAAGTAAAAAATTTCAAAAATAATTTGAAAAAATATTTATTTTTGCTGGCCTTTAAACAACGTTAAATATCAATATTTTGATATCAATAATGTTGGTTTCTGCAAAAGAATGTGTTAAAGGCGTTATAATAAACTTCCTTGCAAATTGCAGGCCGCCACCATGATTTTCGTTTATGTACAAGGCAGTAACAAAAGTAGATGAAAACTAGAACTTGAAGTAAATGTCCGGTACACCTTTTTTTGTATTGCAAACAAATTTAAACATATACAAACATATTTAAATTTGTTTCTATGTATTTGGCATTTCGTATTATCTTTCAACTTTATCGCATAATTCGTATTGGAATTAACATTTGTGCAAAAGACTTTAATATCAACCTTTATTCTTGTCTTATTCTCTCTCAATTCATTCATTTTATTGATTAAGAAACCATTGTTATTTCACTTCTTTTTTTTTTTTTTGAGGTTATGTTTACACATTATTTTTATATGTAGCTTCCGAAAGAAGCAATAAATTTATTTTTATAATAGCAATGAAATAATGACAAAAGTATGGAAATACATATTCAAAGTAATTATTTAAAAAGGAGATACTTATAATTTTTTGGTTGTACGATAGTTATGAGGAGGAAAAATATTAATTTACATGTTGTAGAAAGTGTTCCACGGCTAATAAAGTTTTTAGGGTACTTATGTATGTGTACGTAAATAATGGAAACAGAAATGGCATACCACTCAAAGTAGAAAATAATAAAGGACCATAGATATTTCAACATACTTTATAGTGAAATTCAAAATTTTGAGAAATTTATTTGTTGTTTCCAAAATATTTTAATTTAAATGAATGTAAATGAATTCTGTTAAAACCCAAACTTGGATTGTAGATGTGTTAAAACTATAAAAATTATATACTTACACATATGTATATGTATTCACATTCAACTTACATAATGCTGTTTATAAAATTGGAATGTGGCATATTTCCAGGAGAAATTAGTAAATAGTAATAATATAATTTATGGATTGAATTAGATTTGGTTTAAGAAAAATATTTATTAATTAAAAAAAAATTCAACTGATAACCGAACAAGCAAATTTGTTTTTAATTTTAAAAAAACAATTTTTTTCCGGTCTAATATCATTCATTTACGAATTAAAACAGACATATCAAACACGCGACCCAACATTCTTAATCCTGTGGCCCCTCTTGATTCTGCGATTTTTGAAAATTTTGAAATTTAATTCTTATAATTTCGTTACAATCAAAGTATAGATTCTGCGGGGGTTTTCAAAAACCAAACTGATGCATATACACTTATATATTTGAACTAGTTTAATTTTCTTATACATATTTGTAAATAGTGGCCAGTAAAGTAAATTCGAAATTTTTCGAATATTCTTATTAGAATAAATTATTAAAAACCGAATTCGAAAGAACATTTTTAGATTTTAACAGATGTCAAAATTAATTTAACCAATTCACTTTTTCATTTTCTGTTGATATTGAAACACTTGATGCAAATTTATACATATTTGAAATCAAAATTCTGTGCGATTCTGTATAAAAACAAAAATTTAAAGAAGTAGAAATTACTAAATTTTATAATTATTTACCTATAAATCAATTAAGCATGTTCTAGCAATGTTCGGAAGCACATATTTGTGTGAACAATCGTTTTCGATATTAAAAAATAATAAAACTGCTGAAAGATCAATATTAACAGGTTAACATGTTCAATCAATATTAAAAATTACAACTGAGAATTTAATTCAACCAAATTTCGAAGATTAAGTAACAGAAAAAATGTTGCTAAATTTCTTCAAAAAATTGATTTTT